ATAACAACCACCTCTAAAAATGAGGGTTATATCTATTGGTGGTTGGGAACACTAGTTGTCCCTGGAAATATGTTTCTAGGGTCATTGTTGCTGGCCCTAGTATTGTCAACAGCCCTTGGAAATTGATTTCTACAGGCAAATAATGTTTTGGCCCCCCTTCAAAGATAAATTTTAAGAGGTCGTTTTACACCCATCCTTGAAGATGGATGATTTCTAGACACATAAATAGAGGTGGTTCCTCTGCCCACCTCTTGTCGGTGTTTCGTACAGTAAATTTGTATACGCCCGATTCGTCCGGAGTAGCTTAGTAGTCGGAAGCTCAGGATTATACTAGTTCAGACAAGAGCCCTACACATCTAGTCGGGTGGCGGTAATCTTGTTCGTGAGCCCAAGTGCTTGGGTTTGTAGTAGGGGTTACAAATGAGTGCGAGTGTTGAGAGGATCGAAGGACTTCAGAGATCGTGGACACTGTAAAGGCTTTGTAAAGAAGAAGAGAGGAAGCCCCTACCACCTCTTATATAGCCAAGGGGGCAGTGTTACAAATGGAGAGGAATAGAAAAAGAGTACTCCTTGGTCTTGTGTGTTGTGGCAGCAGTCTCTACAACTGTCGCCATCCTGCCACCGTTGTGGAGGAGGTTGAGGTGCAACCAGTTCCATGTGGCCACGCCCATGTCATAGTAGGTGGAATAGGGTAGTTTTGCACAAGGTTGCCACAGGACAAGGCGTGCTGCTTCATGCATGACATGCTCAAGTACACCCATAGTACAAAAAGTATGGCCATCTCATCTTGAGGATCGCAATGGTCTTCATCCTAGGCAATGGAGAAGAAGGGAATTCATACTTGTCTAACCTCGTGTTCACTGGGGCAGGCTCCTCATGTGGCTCTTGTATGGTATTGATGAGGACATGACACCTATGGATACGCCCATGAAAGTTAAAGACAAGGTGAGCTCGTTCCTATGTTTGTATAATGATAAAACTAAGAATTTGTTACTACCTAATATCGGTATTTCAAATGTGCTTAGGAACGATGGCGATGATGATAGAGTATGGATATGTCATGAACAAGACCGATCTTGGAGTGCAAGCTCATCAAAGTCCAACATTCGGTTCGTCGGCAGCCCGACAGTGCTTCATTGTGAAGGTCATAACTCGTCCATCCGGAGTACGACTGAGGTCAATGAGCACTTGATGGAAAGATTATTTGATAAGTTTTCAAATAAATCTAGTACCACCTCAATATCACGTCGGCAAGGTCTTCAAATCATCATGACATTCTGCCGTTGTTTCTATCGGGTGCTACGACGTCGTTGCGGGCTTGTTATTCATACTTGGGACCCAGGCCCAAGTTGGAGCACGCCACAAGAAGATGGAGAACACCTAGGAGATGCCAAAGGACGTCCTCCTCTATAGCCACCACCTTAGGAGCCAAGCAAAGGCGTCCAAGCCTAAGTTGGAGGCCCAATCCAAGTCAAGTTCGAGTCCATCTCGGGCTCTTGGAGCAGTGTGCATTAAAACGGACGCCCAGGTCGCATACGGGCTCTGTTTTCAACGATCCACATATGGATGGAAAGATAATTTGATAAGGTAACTGATGGATGAGGTTCCACATAAAAATTCTATCAGAATCAACAGGAATCGTCAAATCAAGTTAACATCCAGAATCTGTTAGGGCACTGCGTCGCCGTCTGTTGGGCCGTTGGGCCTTGTAACGAGTTGGGACACCTTAAGGACGTGAAGAGGGGTCCTTGAACACCCCTTAGGCTATATAATTAGTAGCCACCGCCTATGTTAGGGTTTAGGTTTTGCTTTAGATTAATTTGTCTTTGAACAGTCACCGTTATCGGTTTATGAAACCCCACGTTGAGATCTTAATTAATCAAACATCTGCAATTATCACTTCAATTGAGTTGCATTTTACCTTGTTCTTGCTTGTTTTCTTCGATTTGCAACAGGGATTAGCCTTCTTGGCGAGGTCAACCGAATTGTGACACAGTTAGGAGACATGGTGCAAAGGTTGCAGGGTTCGGGTCTTTGTGATCTCAAGCCAGATCTGTGTGTCGCTCTCTGACCAAATCGATAGTTATCTTGAACCTGACGGAAGATCGAGATCCCTGTTCCCCATCAGGTTTGAGGAGACTTGGAGCCAAATGAAACCTCCAATCTTAAGGTCAGGATATTTCTTGGTTCAGAGTCTAGTTAGTCATCGGTCGGGGAGGTCGAGTGGTCAGCTATGACAGGTTCTGATGGGTGTTAAGTCCCATGCCCCAAGTTTGGAGTTGTGGGCGACTTTTTTGATCTAACATAGCCCTTGAGTCCACTCGTGAGCCAGGTGCCATCATTGAAGACTTTTAGTGATGGAAATAGTCGACTTCCCTCGAAGGTGGGGGCACCCATGGTACAAGTATTTAGCAATAACCCACGAACATGTGTGATTCAAGAAATTTTGCAGAGGCTCTATTATAGTAAGAGTGCTACTAGTTCCCTTTGGTAATTTTCTTGTGTCTCCATGAGGCATGCGAGTGCTCACTACAATAATATTTGTATTGGAGGCGGGGGGTTTGGATTTTCAGAAGCGGGCAACGCAACCGCCTCCATCAAAACATCTCGGTTAATGCAGACTCTAAGGAGCAAGAATCCATTAAAATAAACAAAAAAAGAAAAAGCTGGCACGGGCTTGGATCTGGGCCTCGCATCACCGTCGTCGATCCGCTCACCCTGATCCGTCACCCCAGCGTCGCCGCCCAAATCTGGGCCCCGCGAGTGCCGCCTGGAGGAGGGAGCCGGGCATGCGAGCGCCGCTAGGAGGAGGAGGGCGCTGGGGGCCTCATGCCGCGCCAGAGGAGGGTGCTGGGGATGAGCGCCAACAAATCTGTTGTGGGGCGCCGCCAGATCCACCGTCGGAGACCACCACCACTGGGACAAGCGCCACCCGCCGCCATATCCACCGTTGCAGGCCACCGCCACCGAGACGAGCACCACCTACCACTAGGGCATGCCAGATGCCACCAGGACGCGCGCCACCCACCCACTGGACACGCGGCCACCTACCGTCGGGGCGCTCCAGATCCACCGCCAGAGCGCCACCGGAGCAGACCCCTGCCACCGGGACGCGCGCCACCCGCCGTTGGGGCACCTAGATCCTCATCGTCGGGATGCGCGGCCACCCACCCCGCCGACTCACGCGGGCCTCCGTCGTCGGGATCCGCCACCATGAGAGGAGGGAGGAGGGAGAGGGCATGAGAGAGTGGATGGAGGCAGGGAGAGAGGGAAGAGAGAGAGTGGGAGGAGAGGCTTTGAGTGGGTGGGGAGAGAAATGAACTGAGAAGAGAATAAACCCCAGGTCTGGCTTATATATGAGCCTGGTAGAAAGATAGATAAGGCTTTGCCTGGGCTCGGAGTTGGGCTAGTATTTTCAGAGGCGGGCCTTATATTGTGCGCGCCTCCAAAAATGGATTTACGAAGGCAGACGCCTTAAGACGACAGCCTCCGAAAATAGAACATTTTTGGAGTCGGTTGCCTTAAAACGAATGCCTTTGTAAATATATTTTTGGAGGCGGGCATTTTCCAACTGCCTCAGTTAATAAAATGACTACCTCCATAAATCGATTTGCGAGACGGTCATTTTTTAGTGCCTCGGTAAATAAAACAACTGCCCCTGTTAATTGTCAGGTATTTTCTGAGGTGGTTGGATTTTGTGACCGCCTCGGTTAATGTTTGGGCAGTGGCTCGTAAAATCATTTTTGTAGTAGTGGCTCCCACCAGTGGGTCGAGCCCCCGATCCTTGATTGATTCGAAGAATTGACCAGATGGAAAACTTGAAGCCATTGTGTTCTTCTAATCCCAAAGTGTACAGCGAGCGCACCCAATTGGCGTTGTGGGATGACTTGGGTGAAGCCTGGTGGTGGTTTGCCTAAGTTGTCATGGTCGGTGACATTGCATTGCCAGTGGCGGTGTGACTGACTCGGTGAGGCCTATAGGTGGCATGCTTGAGTGGTCATAATGGGGAGGCACTACCAGAATCAGGAATTGTCTTGGCGGCCTAAAACCGCCAAGGAATATAGGTTTACCGCCAAGGTAATTGTTCTTGGCGGCCGACCGCCAAGCAAAGCCCGCCAAGCCTAGAGAGCCAAGGAAAAACGATATCCTTGGCAGCTGACTGCCAAGAATTGTTTCCTTGGCTGTTTGGCTGCCAAGGTAAATAGGACGCTGATAAAACTTTCAATGCGCCAAGGAAAGGGTACATCCGCCAAGGAAATTTATTTGCTTGTCTGCCGTCGACCGCTAAGTAAACTCTTTTCGTTGGTCGCCTTCGACGCCAAGTAAACTCTTTCCCTTGGCGCCTTCGACGACCAAGAAAAAATTTTTGCTTGGCTACCATCGACGACCAAGAAAATTTCTTTACTTGGCGGCTTTGGACAGCCAAGAAAATACCTTTCCTTGGCGACTTACAACAGCCAAGTAAATTTCTTTCCTTGGCGTGACATCGACCAATTTAAACTATTTGCTTGGCATTCCAAAACAACCAAGTTAATACATTTCCTTGGCAGCCTTCATCAGCCAAGGAAAACAAAATACATTGGCCAAGACAATTCTAATTTCCTTGACAAATGCCAAGTTAATACAAACAAACTCAATATTTTGGTACCCACAAATCGATAGCAACAACAATACAAATCATATGTCCAACATCCACTTGCTCAATGCAAGATGCGTATTGTCCACTTTATATAGGGCAAACATGTCGTGACATGCATCCCGCCTACATATAATCTAGATGGCGATTCTTATCTTGCCTACATGTCATCATCACACATTCACAAAAGACTTTGCAAAAGCTCAGCCACACATCATATGTTAGCTGTACCAAAATAGACCAAAAGAAGTCAAGATGACACGGCGGTACTAGGAGTTGCTTTGGCATTAGTTGGTCCTATGCCAAATCAATTTGCTTCCTGCGCAGTCACCATCGACAATGCAATCATCATCAACGATCGCCTTCAAGGCTTCCTCATCGCCTCCCTTTCTTTGTCGGGATCGTCATCACCATTTCCTTCGGAGTCGGAATCATCACCATCTTCACCATCACCATCTTGATCGTCTTCATGGAAGTTGTTTCCATCATCATCTCTTTCATCAATGTTCTCACCGCTATTTGTCATTAATCGAGTGGGAGCAACCATGTGGGGAAGCAACAATCTGCAAAATCAAAAAATCTCCATGATGATGTGCAAACCATGTGCACCTACATAGTTACTACCCAGCCAAGAAAGCAAAGGGCAGCAATGTAAGGATTACATAGTCCATAATATGAAGAATGTAGGATTACTTTTTGTCAACTCAACCTAGCAGTACTATGAGCTGTTAAGAAATATGAAGATGGACCTAGCAGAGCATAGTTTTACTTGATCTTTGAATACAGTACTTGATGCTTAAGGAGCTGACCAAATGAACTAAAGGGTATTTGCCAAACAAAACTGAGGGGAATCAAGACAAGTCAAACTAATCTTGGCTACCTTACCATGAACTTAAATCTAAGGTTGCCATTACTAATCAGCAAGAAGCCACCTTTTCACTGCTGCAACTCAAATTGGCATTCTGGCAGCAAACAATATTAATTCTCCAGATGAAATGTCCTTCAGACACAAAACATTAATTGTACAAGCATTCAGTAAAATTTGTAACCTATTGACGACGCGCATCAATACTTTCTAGACGCCGCAACAGCTCTGCAGGTGGTTCTCTTCCAAAATCAGAATACATTGTCTGTAATTAAAAAGGCACATGAGTATTACATTCAGATGCATGCATAGGAGCATTACCCAAATCAGAATATGTTATTTGCTAGAAGCAATGAAAAAAATATTACCATGATCAACGCACGATTAACACTATTTTCTTCAAAGAGTATCCCATTAGTCTCTTTCAGCTGCTCATTTTCTTTGAGCACCCTATCATAATCAGTAGGATTGATTGGCTTAAAACCTACTGATTTACTATGTATTAGAACAATTGCCTTGTCCACAGCACCATCGCCTATTGGAACACGCCCATGCTTCATCCCGTTTCCAACAATGTGCAGCGCCTTTCCATCCAATTCTTGTGAATTCTCATCTGAAACTAGTTGTCTGTAGTCATCCTAAAATAAGCAAAAAATCATGACATGAAAAATAAGCAGATTTTGAATTTTATGTTGTAGGAATGAGTATATACTCTAACAATGCCCATGTGCACATAATCAAATAAGCATTATATGATCGAACTACTACATTTGTAAGATATTTTCTAAGAATTAAACTGATTAGTTGCTACTGACAAGGACATTTACATTGGAGATAATCAAGTAAATAATGCAAAGCATACCAAGCGTTTTTGCGCTTTCTGGCTGGGGATGGGACTAGCCCTTCCAGTGCTGTCTACAGTTTTGAATCCCGTTTTCATCACAGCGTATGTATTTAAAGTGCCACTCTTCTCAGGACCGAAAGTATGTTCCTACAAGAATAAAAACATCAAATTATGCAAGGGAAAACTTTGTAGAGGCCAATGGTTTAATTAGGCAAGACATAAGGAATTCTTATACCAGGAGTTGTTGTGTCTCCAAAAAATTCCTTGAACCTCCTCTATTTTGAGCATTATCTTCAGAACTCATGCAACAATCTTGGGCTATCTTTCTCTTTCTCTTGTACTCATCACTAGTCCAGTATTTGCAGAACCATGCCCAAGCTGATTTACTGCACCATTCCAACCGACAAGTCAGGTACTGTTCTTCCGTAAGTTCAATGGTACGTGCTCGTGTATCATCACATGTCTCATCCCTTAGGTGAAAGTACATCTTGACAGCCTCCAGACAGAGTTGATACACCATATTGCTTACTCTTCTCACTAGATATGCTTCTAAAATTTTGTCAGCAGGAACCCTATGTCGCAGTTGAACTGTAAACAACTTCTGCATATGTAGGACAAGGCCAAGTAAGATAGTCAGATAGGTATACATGTGAGAAAAATATCAGAATCCATAAAATTAGAAGTTAGATAGATTACTAACCCAGAACTCCTGCTTTACTCTACTGGCATAACAAATTCCATCTCTATTCTTTCCAATAATAATCATTCCATGACATTGCTGGGTGTTGTTTAACAACATTGCCCTGCTCATCATATACCTTGATAATGCCTGGGTACTCCCGTTTCAGAATAGCTCCCACTTGTGAGGGATACTTGAGGCCTTTAGGGTTATAAGCAACATATTTGAACTGACTGTTACAAAGAAATTCATATGTTAATTGTACATATTCATGATTCCAATTAGTAGCAGAATGACAAGACTATGTACTCTGATTTCATGATTATACTAGGAGGAAGATTTAATGGAGTAACAAAAACTGGCTAGCATGAATAGGGAGCTGCATTTATACTGGAGGGTGTAAAACCATCTGTTGCCACAGCAAGGCGCACATTCCTAGGGTCCCAACCAAAATCTGGGAAGTCTTTGTCAAACTGTTTCCATGCTTCCCCATCACATGGGTGCAAGATCTTACCAGATCTGGACTGCTTGTGAGACTGCATCAGCTTTGCTGTCCTTTCATGTGCATACAATCTTTGTAGTCTATCTGTGATGGGAAGGTATCGCAAGACTTTACGTGGGACTCTACTTTGGCCTTCCTCATAGCGTGAGGTACCACAAACATCACACTTGTCTTTATTTTTATTGTCCTTGTAGTAAAGCATGCAGTTGTTATAGCAGACATCAATTTTTACATATGACATACCTAGACCCTCCAATAATTTCTTTGACTGGTAAAAGTCCTTGGGAACCTTAGATTCTGGAGGCAGCAGTTCGTTGATTAGCTCTAAGTTTGCTTCAAAGTGTGCAATTGACATATTGTACTGTGATTTCAAAGCTAGCAAACGTGCCACGGCAGAAAGAGATGAATGTGTTGTGTTTTCATGGACCAGTTGATCAGCACTAGCAACCATCCTATAAAAGGCCCGGGCTGAGGGTGTGAGCTCATCGTCACTTGTAGGTCCATGGTTAACACCTAGGTCAACTAACATATCATCCATGCGATCAGCTTCCTCAGAACTCTCATCACTTCCAACTTCAACATGACTCTCTCCATGTGATGTCCATATTTTGTAGTCATCCCTAAACCCATGTTTACACAAGTGCATCTCTACATCAAACCTTTTATGCCTAGCATAGTTTCGACAAAAGGCACACGGGCACTTAATGGTGTCATTTTCAACCAGACTCAACATAGAGAATGCGTGGTCTAGAAACTTATTTGTGTTTTCAATCCACTCATGAGAAGGAGGCTGCCCACGAGACCAACCACTATACATCCATTCACGGTCTACCATTATTCTTGTTCTGTTTTAAAAATAAAATATGTTTCAATGTCACAACAATCTGACACAAATAATAGTCACAGAACAAATAGGCAAATAGAAATAATTTGTCACATACCAACTAAAAAATTTGAAATAGCAGTAAGATTCTTTTCTGCCAAATTAAGGATTGAGTATGCAGCTTAACAAACAAGTGCATTCTAGCCAATGTCTAAAACACTACTGCTATTCAATCAAAATGCATTAGTCAACTGATACTTACTGCTATTCAATCAGAAAGGTTTGCAGTTCGTGGGAGAGGGAAGCAGTGCCTTCTTCAATTGTCCTCGAATCTGATCAGCAAGGTCCCTAGTGTACAGTGTGGTGTCACTTGTTCCTCTCCTCAATCCAGTTAGTGTTGATGCATGACAGAGCGAACAGATGATTGGCTCCTCACACGCGGGGACCCTTGAAAAAATTGTGAGCGAGGAAATCAGATTTAAACATCTCTAGTTCACCCTTTTGCTTACCCAGCTACCCGAGGATTCAAACCTATTTTTGGAATAAAAAACTAATCCAGCCTCTATCAACAGAAATCAATCAAGAATCTATCTCATGTGGACTTCATTTTTTCTCACTTCGCAGGGAGCAAGATGAATAAACTGATTCAAGAAAAAGAAGTATACGTACCAAACGGATTTGGAGGAGTCTGGTCGAGTTGGCGCCGGTAGGGAAGGGAGGGGGCGGCGACGCTGGGAGTGTGGGCGGTAGGAGTGTGGCAGGGGGAGGGCGCCGCTAGGGTTTCTTCTTATCCAGGCGGGAGCTAGGGAAGGAGAAGTGTGGGCGGCGGTGCCAGTGGGGGGAGGGAGGGGCGACGGCGGGGGTGTGGGCGGCAGCAGGAGGGGGGGCGGCGGCGCTGGGAGGGATGGGAAGGGGTGGCGGCAGGAGTGTGGGAGGGGGAGGGCGGCGGGAGTGTGGGATGGGGAGGGCGCCGAGAGTGTGGGTTGGACCTTATCCAGACGGGTACGCGCGTGGGACTGAATTTTTGGCGCCCTAGGCGGGAGTGAGACGCGGTATGCTCGGTCGTGGGCGCGTTGCAGTTTTGGGCGATGGAAAATTTGCTCGTGGCAGCGTTTCGGCGTTGACAAGGAAGAGAGTAGAACAAGAAGCTTGGACGATCAGGATCTCAACCTGCTTGTACGTGCCACCAATGTGTTTAGAGTTAAACTAGAACAAATTCCATTCATACATGTTGTCATACACAGTCTGTTTATGTATAGTTTAAACAGTCTGTATCGGTAGGGATTTACAACTTTTTGACTTATCCCAAAACGGTGGTTTACAGGAGGTATATAAAAAGATGGAAACCCTAATAGGTGATGATCCGTGCACCCGCCTGCATCGCCAAAGCCTCCCGGCGACGAGCCTCGCTTCGCTTCCGTGAAGTTAGCCTTTATCTTGTATATAACTGAATTTGGATCACAACTCAACAAAACACGCACCCAAACAAATTAAACTATAAAACAGTATTTGGCATGTGGCCTAGCATAAACTATCATTAGCGATTACACGCTCGGTCGGTACGCAAATCTCACCATTGTTCCTTCATGAGTGTCGTGTGTGCCCCTCGATGAGGGCACAAACAGCTTCCTAGTACTAGGCGCGCACGCACGGTGAGGTGCCAACTGCACATAAGTGGATGACCGTATGTGCAAAGATGTGTGCCGATGGGCATGGAATCGGAGGGTGGAGAAGTGGAGGACATGCACACAATTTGAGGTCGTCCGAGCAACAACAGAGGGTAGTGGATGTATATGTTACATTGAGTCGTGGTGTATATACTTATGAGGCAATTACCTCGTAGCTATTAAGCAAGATCGCCACCTAAGAGTTTAAGACAAACTTGTCATACTAACATACAAATGCATGTATCATAAGAAATATCCCACCAATACAATGGGCAATTAGCTTGTTGGCTTAAAATACATATATGAAAATATTAAATTTACTTGGTGGCTCAATAGAAACCGCCAAGAAAATGAATTATTAATTTGGCGGCTCATTAAAGAATGGCCAAGGAAATACCTTGTTTACTTGGCAGCTGACGACAACAGCCAAGTAAATGCATGCTTTTCTTGGCGGTTCCTAAAAACAGCCAAGGAAACCCATCATTTTATTGGCGGTTCATGGAAACAGCCAAGAAAACCATCTTTTTCTTGGCGGTTCGTCAAAACAGCCAAGTTAATCCATCCTTTGCTTGACGGCTTGCATAAACAGCCAAGGAAACCCACGTTTTCCTTGGCGGTTTATAATAACAGCCAAGGAATTACATTCTCTTGGCGGTTTTCTGCCATTGCCAAGGAAACGTTATATTCCTTGGCGGCTCAATTTTAGCCGCCAAGTAAAATTTTGGCCGCCAAGGCAAATCCAGTTTGGTGTAGTGAGGCCCAAGTACATGATGGGGAAGTGTGTTTTATTTTTGCCGAGAGGGCTTTATAAAATGTCATCTAAGTTGAGGCCGTTACATCTAATTAGTACAAGTCAGAGAAGTTTTGTGCATTTGTCCAAAGGCCAGATACCTCCTCGAACAAATTAGTTTATATATTTGCCATAGAATTTTTAGATCCTGCTTGGCAGTATGAAAACCACCGCATGATCAGCATACATGGAGGTGCATAGCCCTCTGAAGATCCCTCTGAGTTGTGAGATGAACCCTACTTCAGTTGTTTGCAAGAGAGAATGCATCGTAGAGGGTCGATGGTGAGGATGAATAGAATTGCAGATAGAGGGAACGCCTTGTCTGAGCCATCTACAATGATATGTAGGGGTGCTAGGGATGCCATTAAGCAAGACTTGTGAAGTTGTGGTAGATTGCAAGCCTGACACCCAGATCCATTGGCTTGTGGGAAAGTGATGCTGTTGCATTAGCGTGAGAAGATAGTCCCATCAAAATGAACCAATGCCTTGGTAATGTCTAGTTTGACAATGAGTATTGGCATTTTATTTTGATGAAAGCGACGTGTCAGGTTCTGGGCGTACTGAAAATTATCATGAATGCTTCTGCCATGTGTTTATTTCACTTCTAGAAAGTGCTTCTGCAGCCAAAAAGCTGACCGACAACAAAACGGGGGAAACCAGAAGCTGCTTTAGAAGCAGATGTTTTTGTTTATTCCACAGCTCATAGCTGAACTAAACAAACCCTGAAGGTGCTCTCGATTCTCAAGATCAGGATGGGAATTATGGTGCAAGTCAGATTGCTAAGATTTTAAAGATCAGCCTCGCGATGCTAAGATTATAATCCACGATTGATTCATCAGCTTCCTTCTTAGGTATCAATACTTTGTTCGCAGTGTTTACCTGCTCCAAGTTATTCCATCTTTCAACATAAACAGCCGTGTATAGTGTTGCGAGAATGCCATATTCAATAATGTGCTAAGTTGACTTCCTCCTTCATGAACGGATCATTGTGGCCTAGTAGGTCCATCTGATTAAGGTTAGGTGTCTCCCATTGAAAAAATTAGATCTGGGAAGTGGGGCTGGGGCCTAACATATTTTGTTTAAGAAAATTTGTACAATTCTCTCTCTCTCTCTCTCTCTCTCTCTCTCTCTCTCTCTCTCTCTCTCTCTTTCTCTTCATGTGTGATCCCCAATTTACCAATGCTTTGTAGGCTAGAGATGCAGTTTTTCCACCTTGAGTTTGCTTTCAGATGAAAAGAATGTGTCTTTGCGTTACTACCGTTATTTCAAATCACAACCTGGTTACGTATTTCAACTGTAACTAATGATTGTAGTAGTTTCTCAAAGCATTAGTGAAGGACCGAGAGAGGCGACTAGAGGGAGAGGTGAACGGGAGCCAATCCAAAATTTCTTCTGAAATGGCCGCTGTCCCAAACAACCTAGCTACAAAACACCAAAACTCACACAGGTGATGCCCTCGAGGCAACAAGTGGCTAGATGTTCTCGGTGAAGACCGGAGAACACACACTACTACAGAACTGACATCTAGTCCCAGTTGGGAATTGGTTTTAGTCCCGGTTTCCCAACCGGGACTAGCATTCCGAGACTAAAGGTGGTGTTCTTTAGTCCCGGTTTGCCACAACCAGGACTAAAGATCCTCCCAGCTTAAAAAAAATAATGCCTCCCACCGCTGCGCCCTATGAGATTCGAACCCAAGACCTCATGCACTGCCTCGCGCGAGCTTACCACCCCACCTACACAACACATCTAACAATGGATGGGATGCTTTCCTTTTGAACTAACCCATCGGGGGACCTTTAGTCCCGGTTGGTGTTACCAACCGGGACTAAAGGGTCCTTTAGTCCGGGTTGGTGTTACTAACCGGGACTAAAGGTTGGAGGACTTTTAGTCCCGGTTGGTGGTTCCAACCAGGAGTAAAGGAACCTTTAGTCCCGGTTGGTATTACCAACCGGGACTAAAGGAACCTTTAGTCCCGGGGGCAAAAAATGCCAAGACTAATGCCAAATTGGGATATCGTTCTAAAGTCTGTTCTCTAGTAGTGACAGAGGGAGTCACACCATAGCGAAAATCAAAGTGCAACACCAAAACACCCCGAAACTAAAAAACAAAGCTCTCAACTTCAATCACTATGAAGCAAGAGTCCGACTCGAAATCCTCTAAGTCTGCTGGTGACTTGAGAGCTGAGAAAACTTCCTGAGCACTACTGGAAACTCACGGAAGAAACCAGACATGAAACGGGGCAACTAAGCTCACAAGATAGAAAAATGAGTCGTTGCACAGCAGCCAAACCAGATTGGCCAGTCACCCAACCGGCCTGGCCGGTTCCTGACCGACCAACAGACCAACCGCCCTTGGCCGGTTTAGCTGAGGAGTATGAACCAGCTTAGTTGGGCCAGTGTTGGTATTTCTTAACGTCTACAGAAGTTAATCCTCAAGCGTACGGAGTTACCGTTGTAGCTTTCACCCGGAAGTATTCAGGGTATCATATTTTCATAGGGAACAGAGGTATTTATTCTAACTAATTCGTCCAAGGACAACACAAGGATAGCTGATAC